TTCTGAAATATATGGGCTTCTCCTTCCTCCTGTCTTACTTTTTTTCAGATAAGAGCATTTTCATCTAGTCTACTGTTCCTTCTCATAGTCTTTCAAGGATATTAAATGCTCAGATGGGATGGGACTGATTTCACTTGAGACTTCATTAGTTGGGGGTCATTCTGAACCCACATATGTTATCCTCTTTGTACAGTATACCTGGATTTTTTTTTTTCAAAGCTTCATCTGTTCCTGGATGCACATTCTTATTCTGTGGAACACATATTCCATTGGGACTTGGACTTGCTGGAACTTCTTGATGACTGAGCTTCACTGTTTTTTATTTTAATTTTTTCTCTCTGGTGGTCCATTTCTTCCTTCTCTGTGGTTGGCCCAGACACTCTCCCTTTCTTGATTATGGTTGAGCCTCTCAAGCTCAGTGGTGGTGCTCATTGCTTCAGGGCAAGCTGAGGAGTTTATCCTGAAACTGGGATCAGGGATCTCATTCCAGGGCATGCAGATCTTTGCAGATACAAGATGCAGTGAGGCACTACATGGGACCCCAAGGATGTGGAGAAGGGAGAGTTCCAAGTTCATACCCACATGATCCACCTATGCCCTGTGGAATCTCCCACTTTATGCTTCCCCTGCATCTGAAAGAATTGTTTGTCATCCCCTAAGGCTTGGGCCCCTGAACCCTATTTGGCACAGCCACCCTCAGTTTTTCCCCAATCCCCTTTCTAGCCTCACTACTTAGATACTGTTTTTCTCACCCATGGTCTAGGGAAACAGAAGTTCCTGAAGCCTCCATCATTTATATCCCCAGGAACGTGATAAGATCATGTCCCCTTCTAGAAGCATGGCGGAAATTTGTAGCATCTCTGCCCATCTCTAGAGTCTGTGTAGGGGCCTTTCCTCCTGACCGCTCCCCTAAGGACAGAACCTGTATCCTGAGTATCTGAGTTAAATTTGCCCTCAGTGAGTGTCCCCTTTGGGGTTGTTGGTGAGACTCAAAGGTCTCTTTACACCAAGATGGCACTCTGGTCATCTCTGGCTGGAGGAGGATGAAGGCAGCCAGAGGAAGGCAGCACTCGAGGAAACCTAGGGACCAGGTTGGGCATCCTCAAAACTCTATGGATGCCTTGTGTCTTCCGGTAGTCAAGGAAAAAAAAATTATATATATATATATATATATATATATATATATATATATATATATATATACATATACATACACACACACATATATATGTATATACACACACACACACACACACACACACATATATATATATATATGCCATTTCATTCCTCTCTGCTTTTGTGTATATTTGAAATTTTCTATATTAAATAGTTTGAAATGGCATATGTATATATATATATATATATGTGTGTGTGTGTGTGTGTGTGTGTGTATATATATATATATACATATATATATGTGTGTGTGTATGTATATGTGTGTGTGTGTGTGTGTGTGTATATATATATATATATATATATATATATATATATATATAAATAAATAATTTGGACCAATCCTCATCTCTGTGGTTATCAGATTTTCCCAGCAGGAAGGCTTCAAGATCACATGGCACTGTGATTGCTGTGTTCTGGCATCTCTTGGACATTTCTGTGTGCAAAAGGCCAGGCTGTGCAGCAGACTGTGGACTTTGTGGCCACCCACCAAATGAGTGGCTTTAGCCACTTATATTTCAGAAAAATCTCATTATTTGTCTTGGAGAGCTATGTTCAAACTCAGTGTTTTGCAACAAGGTCCCTTTTCAAGTCAATCTTATCTGCAGCCCTTATGTTCAAAACAGATAAAGTACTTTTAGCACACATCTGTTACATGAGTTCACTTTTGTATTATTTATTGATAAAATCAACTTGCCTATGGGAAAGAACATTTTAACTGCTGTCATGTATATTGATTTTCGAGTTTTGATAACAATTGCAATGTCACAATCCCATGTATCTCAGTATTCTGTATGGATGAACAATACTTTGAAATCATGGAGTCACACAGGTAAGCTGTTGCTAATGGCAACAGTTTTTTAATCTTGTTTTAACCTATTCCCCTTGTGGTCTTAAAAATCTCTTCACTTAAATTGGAATAAATGCTTGGAGAAAAAGCTCGTAGAAAAAAATTTTTTTTTCCAGAGTTGGATCATTGATCTAACAGATGCTCATAGTATTTATTATAAATATAAAAACCAGGAAAGAAACCCAAGCCTAAAATACACAAAATTTTGTATCCTGTGGCATGGCATCAGACCACACTTTCTGTTGTTGCTGCCAAGGACCATTGTCAGTGGCAGAACACATGCCAAGTCTGTTGTAGATTCACTGTTATGTAACTATAGACACAAACTTGCATTTTTTAAGAGTAATGCAAAACTGAAATCTCATGTGGTGAATCATTTACAAGAAATTCAAATATGTTGTACATTCATGACAAGAGAAATTTCAGTTTATCTCTCACCCAAAGGGGAATAAAGTGACCCATAAATTAATATTGGTAATCTCTGAAAAGTTAAAATTTTATGTATAATCATTTGATTGCATGGACCTTAATTCGTATTTTAAAAATACAAAGAAAAGAAAATATTGGAATCAAGCATTTGCAGAAATCTCAAAAGACTTCCATAGCATGTTAGGGTCCCAGAGAACCTAGTTTGAAAATCATGGTGCTATTCTGAGTACATTTTTGAAGGTTTCCATTTTTAACTTTTATGTCCAGTTATGGTTTCTGATATGACTCATTAACGCAGTCAGATACAGACTACAATCAAGCAAGAATATTTACATCCTTATCCTACTTCCTCTCTGTCTTTCCTTTCTGGTGTTTGGATGTTACGAGGTGGATATGTTCTTTATTGTCTCAGTGGATAATTCTTATATGTCAACTGAGCCTCTGTCACTCCCTCCTTTTCTTCCTTTAAAATTCCTCATATTTATCATATTCAAATCATGACTTTCTTATATACTTTTTTCCTTCAGCTTCTGGTTCCTGTTATTCTTATTTTAAGATTGTTTTTAATATATTTTAAATCAAATCCATGATGTTTTCCAGCCTGTTATTTCTTCTGTCTCTTGCTCTGCATCTCCATTTCCTCTGAGAAATCCCTAACATCTCTCATTGGGACTCTCTGTTCCTGGGCTCGTGTCTGGATTGTTGTGGTGATCCTGACCTTTGTCCCCAGGTTTTGTCTAAAAGTTTGTTTCTTCTTTCTCAGTTTCATCCTCATTTTTCTGAAGCTGACCAAGGACACGTATGTGGGAGAAAGCTCTTTGAGGCTTCAGCATTCTTGAAAATGCCTTTCTTTGCCTTCATGCTCGAATGGTTTTTTTTCTGCTCTGGAAATTTTTCTTTGTGTGATTTCTTTGGTAATTTTCTCCCTCCCACTCTCCTGTTGTCTCTGGATGGACGTCTGTTCGTGACTGGAGCTCTCCTGGCCCTGTCCTTAGGAGGTGCATCATTTCTGTCCTACTTGTCATCTCTGATTTTTATTAGCCAAACCTCCAAATATTTATTTAGAAAATTATTTCATCAATTTTAGCTTTAATTTCCATATTGCTGTTTTCCTAACTGAAATATCCTCTTGAATTTGGGGGGAGAATATTACATTTTTAAAGAAGTAATTTTGTATTCTTTTCATGGACAGATCTCTTTGGATTTTTAAAAGATGTTTATCCTTGACTGTAAATCTCATGTAAAGACTGATCACAAATATGTAGTGGCTCTGAGTTTTCTCCTGAGAGGACCAAGGCATAGAAAAGGCTCACTGAGCCTCTGTCCATGGTGGGCAGCCCTTACTAGAAGTTTTCTGGTCATCAAAATGAGGGGCAATTTGACTCTGTGGAATGAGCATCTTTTTTTGCCTAGGTTTTCTTGAGGCAGTTTATTATTATTTATAGGTAGAAGGACTGTGTTTTAACAGTACCCAGGATTTATTTTAATCAGTATGGTAAGACATATAGACACAGAACTGACTGTTGCTAAGGAAGAAGATTTTATTCAAAGTTTCCTAACAGCAAGAATCATAACTCACCCCTGAGTCAGGGATACAGGGGGAAGTGCTGGATTGATTATAAGGCAAAGAAACCAGGGAAAATGTAGATAGATAGGAGCTTTCATTGTGTTTTTTCCAGGGAAGGAACAGGTCAGGCAGAATAAACAGGTTTGTAATGGGCTGATTTGAATAATTTCACATCCCTGGGGTGGTTAGGGCTGGTGGATAGTGACCCCCCAAGTGTGAGAGCCTGATAGAATGGGAGTTGAGAGGTAGTCTCTGGATTGATTGATTTATATTTGAAAAGAGCTCTTGAAGACTTGTTTACTGTTTCTAGGAATTGACTAATCCCAGGAGGGGCAGTTCCTCCAGGTCAGCAAGGCCTCAGATGTGAAATGTCGGAAAATAGAAAAGCAAGTCATGGTTAATTTAGGTCTTTACTTTTAATCCTTTTTTCCCCCTTTTAGGGGTGTGTGTATGTGTGGGTGTACACGGGCCTGTGTGTGCATTTATCTAAGTTGTCACCGACAGGGGAGGGTCTTGGGGCACATTCATCTAAAACTTGTGCTAAATTTGCTATCTTTCCCTACCCCCACCTTCATCATTACCAGCTGTGGACCAGAGAGCCCTTTTGGGGTTCTGTGTCCAGCTCCCTCCTGCACCTGCAGTTTCAAACATATGGAATACATTTGTTAATCCTCAGCAAGTATTGGGCCCCTTTGAAGAGATTGGAAGTAAAGCTTTGAACATAGAAGGTCACAATCCCTGTCCTGTGAGGTGGACAGGGTGGCCACATGCACCTATGTTCCTTATCTCCTGTGGATATGTTGAGATTTTTTTTTCCATCTACAGGTGTTCTCCTTAATTGATTTTAGGTACCTGGGTACAAACAGGAGCCCCTAGAAAGCTGCTACTGTTCTGACCAGCGGCTCAACTAATCTAAGTGCACTGAGGAATCGACAGCCTCATAGCACTGGCTCACAAAACTCCATTTTCTGTTTCTAGTGCTGATGAGAGGTTTGATGCCACATTCCACACCAACGTCTTGGTGAATTCTTCTGGACATTGCCAGTATCTTCCTCCAGGTAAGACCCATTTTCTTTGTCTTCTTCCAGTTGGAAAATTTAAGCAAGTAAATTAAGCAAATATCAGCCCAATTGATGGCCCACCTGAGGGTCAACTGGCTCTTATATGCATTCTACTTCCTCCTCTTACTTTCTCTCTGTGCTTTCAGTGCCCCCTCAAGACTGCCATCTTTCTCTTTTTTCTTGGAATCCTGGCTCAGGTGGTCTTTGCCAGCATGTGTCGGGTGTTCTTACTTTCTGCCATGTGCCCTGTAAAGTCAGTCCATAATTAAAGCAAGCCTTCCTTGTTGGGTAATCTCCAAGTCTCTTTTCTACCCATAATCCAGATAATCAGGTCCTTTTGTCTCCATTTCAACATGTAAGTCAGATAAACATGCCCTTTCTTCCCTGTTGTGACCCACAAGTCTGATATCCAAACCATTTTTTCTCCCTTTCAACCCACAAATCAGACAATCAGGTCCCCTTTCCTCCACTTCGGTCCTCCACTTTCCTCGACTTCCTGTCTTGGCAGGTGTTCCAGGTGTTGGGGGAGATGGTGGGAGTGCTGCATGGTGTATTGAGTTCATGCATTCAAGAGCACTCATGGGTTAGATGTTAGGTTCAGTGCTTTCTAGGGAGCTCATTACTGACTTGTTCCTGGACTCGTTTTTTCTCCTTTTCAACTTTCTCATGGTGAGACACTTTCTGGGATTGACCTCCACCCCCCTTCCCCAAACCCATTATTTCTTGGGACTTATAAGGCCCTAGGCTGTTCATTGAGTTATCCACAGCTTGGTAAATTCAGATTTTTCCGCCTTGAGGCACAATGTGGATTGTTTTAGCATATGAATATTAACCAATCTTGGGTTCAGCTTTTAGAACTTCTTTTTTTTTTAACATATTCTTTTCAAGGATTTTCTCCTATACTAACTGTCTGGTTTACTTAACTGCCTGCTCAAAAGGAACCTGCAATTATCTCACGACCAGCGTGCACACACTCACACCACCCACACACAACCACACACACATCACATATTCTCACATCACACACACAGACATACACACACACATACCACCCCTTCAACAGTCTCTCTTACTCATTCCACTGCACACACAGCAAAGTCAGCTTTGCTTTTTGGGTTGTTGTTTACATGCTCTTTCTGTTAGCTGATGATAAACATCCTCTAGACAGAATCTGTGTTTGCTCACCTTAGAATCCTTGGCTCCTCAACCATGTGAGGCCCATGTGAATGGATGAGTGACTGAATCTATCAATAACATACACCTCCCTATAATGTTTGTATAGATTGAAGAAATCCAGCTTTTCAGGTTTTCTGTCTCAACACAACTGTTCTTGGGCAATTCCCCCCATTTTTCCTACCCCAGCCTTTCCTTCTGACAGTGGGTCCTCTGTAGACTGGCTGTGGAATGCCTTCCAGCACATCTGAGTTCCTTTTCACCAGGCCTGCGAGTTACAGCTTCTGTTATGAGTGCCATTATCAGGGCCATTTTAGAAGATGGTGTCCAGTAGTCTCCAGGGTAGAGAAACATGTTGCTGCAAATTGTTCTTAGGACTGAGTTTATCTTCAGCTACCAGGGAAGCACTCTGGACCCTCAAATCCTCTGAACGCAACAGACCCTGTGAGACTCCATCCTATGACCCTTCCTCAGTGGCCCTGGGAGTCTGGTCAGGATGGGACACATTGTGTTGTGACCTGGGACAATGTCTTACACTGGAAGGAAGGGTACAGAACTCCCTGTGCCTTGGGGTCATGTAGGGCTGGTTCGGGGACACTGCTCTGCCCCTGCTTAGTGATGCTTAGTGATACATGGGTATAAAAGAGTGTTTTGGGTGTGGGTTTTGAAATAGAGACTTGATTATAACGTGACTTTTCCTGCTTCATTTTATGCATTTATTTTTAACATCTTTATGGAGGTAGAATTTACATATCATACATTTTAAGTACATGATTCAATGATTTTTAGTAAATTTAGAGTTGTGCAACCATTACCACAGTCCCATTTTAGAGCATTCCCTTCACTCCACAAAGATCCCTTTTGCCTATTTGCAGTTAATCCCCACTCCCACAGCCAGCCCCAGGCAACCACAGATCTGTTTTCTGTGTCTTTCTTGGATTTTTTCATAGAAATGGAATTGTATAGTTATAGAATGTTTTAACTTGCAAATAGTCTGGGTTTGGGGGAACCCACACTACTAATGGAAGGGGAGTGTCAGTTAAGACTTCCAGACTCCTATAAACATTTGAAATAATGCTGCAAATCATGTTTAGAGGACCTTAAGGGGGCAAATAATTTATTATCTGTTCACAACTTGGCTGTGAGTTGAAGTCTGGGTTTTCAAGGCACTTTGAGTCCCTTCCTCCCTATGGTCTTTATTTAACTCAATAGTTGACATTTACAGAGTACCTGCCTTTCCCCACCAGCAGTGGGACACTTAAGCCATCCATGCCTTCTAGTGTTGCTCAATCTTCTCTGAGCAGGGAAGAGAACAGGGCATAAAAATAAAACTAGAATGAGTTTATCTGATTTCATCTTCATGACCTTCTGGGAAATTCACTTTCAACTTACCAGAGCCTGAACTTCCTCTTTCAGTGGAAACCCTTTCTTGTATTCAAGCACTCTCTCTTGGGCTTACACCTGTCAGGTTTTGTTGTATTTTTTATTTTTTTTTAATTGTAGATGGACACAATATCTTTATTTATTTTTATGTGGTACTGAAATCGAACCCAGTGCTTCACATGAGCTAGGCAAGCGCTCTACCACTGAGCCATAACCCCAGCCCGTTGTTCTATTCTTCATCTAGAATCCTGCACATTTATTTCTAGATAATCAAATATTTTCCCAATTGGTATCTAAATAAAATGGCTTCCCAGACCAAACATACCCACACAGAAATACATGCCCCCATACTTTAGATTCTTGAGCATTTTTATTAATTCCTCTGAGGGTTTTTTTTAATGTTCTTTATTTTTCTCCTACTATTGAGTCTGATGCACAGAGCAAACACAAGTTTATAAAACTAATTTCTTTGCAGAGAAATCCCTGAGAAGTCTTCTTCAACAGAAGCTGTCATGGTTTTTGAATTTCAAAAGACAGTGAAGCTTTAGGTGAGCTGCTTGTCTAGTGGTTTGCAAGATAGATTGATAGATCCATAGATTGATCAATTGATAGATAGATAGATAAAATATATACAATTTTTTCTGGGTGGGTTTAGAAGCAGTTTGAAGGTGCAACATGGTCTAGAGGGACTGCTGTGTATTTTGAGTCCATCTCAGTTGTCTTCCACTTCAGCCTTCTGGTTGTTTCCATCACCAACACAGGCATATTCAAGAGCTCCTGCTATATTGATGTGCGCTGGTTCCCCTTTGACGTGCAGCATTGCAAACTGAAGTTTGGATCCTGGTCTTATGGAGGGTGGTCCTTGGACCTGCAGATGCAGGAGGCAGATATCAGTGGCTATATCCCCAACGGAGAATGGGATCTCGTGGGTAAGCCCAGCAAAGACACAAGACTTGCAGCCTGGAAAAAAACCTGCTTTCTTCCTGTTGAAGTTTAAAAGTTAGGGATTTTCCACTGACCTTTCCAGTGTGAGCATTTTTTGAACTCTGCAGCATTCTTCATCATTTACTGAGAGCTATAGGATGAGAAACCAACAACAATGAGTAAATCTAACACTTTCAGGAGGAATTTGCAGCTTGGTGAGGACATGTTTAAACAAGTCAGTGCTGGTGACATCTTCAAGTCCATGCCATTGCTAAAATATGATTGCACAGCAACTTTCAATCAACAGTGTGAGTGTCATAAATGAGGTCCAGATAAAGTAAAAACAGTTTTATACAGTAGCAAAACACATTTACAAATACTGGGAAACGGGTTTGGCTACGCACTAAACAAGTCTGCTTAGGGACAGTTGAGCTTGGGATTTATAACAAGAAGTGGGTATAAAAGCTTAGCATTTTGGGGAAAAGATCAACAAGATTGAGGCAACTCTGGTAGTTGGAAATGGATGCAAATCAGGGTGATCATAAATTTCATAGTCCATTGGATTGTCCAGCTCAGGAGGCAAACTGGTCATTGTAGCATTCCTCGCATCTTGCAAGGAATTGTTAGATTCTGAAAAAATTGTTCCTTCTGTAAGATTTAGTTCCCAACATGAAATTTATCTCGCAATCTACCCCGTCAGCAAATCTCTAAGACTCAGAAAAACATTTTTTTTTACTACTCTGCAGTCATTTTCACTTTTATTTTATCAACAGCCATTTAAAATGGAAAAGCAATGTAGTTAAGATTCACTTAACACTGAATATGCATTCTGAAATGCTTTGTTGCATGATTTTGTCATTATGCAAGCATCATACACTGTACATACACAAACTGAGACAGCTATAGTTCAGTAGGTGATATAAAACTGAAGCACATTTTTTATCAATTTCTTTTTTATTTGTTTGCTTTTCGGTGCTGGGGAATCAAACCCAGGGCCTCATGAAAGCCAAATGGATACTCTACCACTGAGCCACATCCCCAGATTCACTTGTTTCATCTTTGACAGAAGCATCATTATGTGGCTCATGACTATAATTACTTTTATAATGATAAAAATTGAAAGTGCATCATTTATTCTTATGTACTTTTATGTACTTATAATCCTTCAAAAGAATATTTACCCATTTGCTTAAGTATCACTGAGATACCTTAAAACAATTTTATAACAAACCAGCAAGGGTTTGTTCAAACATCAGTTACCAAGATTTTTAGCACTTAGCAAACTCCAGGGCTATGCTTGTGTGTGGTATATACATGGAAACAAACACAATAATTATGTTTTCAAATGATAGTTCCTTTTCTCCTCCTCCCCATGCAGGAATTCCAGGCAAAAGGAGTGAGAAGTTTTATGAGTGCTGCAAAGAGCCATACCCGGATGTCACCTACACGGTAACGATGCGCCGCAGGACACTCTACTATGGCCTTAATCTGCTCATCCCTTGTGTGCTCATCTCAGCTCTGGCCCTGCTAGTGTTCTTGCTCCCTGCAGACTCTGGGGAGAAAATCTCCCTTGGTAAGTGCCCATATCTTTGGCAAGAGTCTGAGACTGGAGGCCCTTTGTTTAGGTCAGCTCTGTAGGGTTCACTGTGGATGGTACAGGGATGTATTTTGGGGTCCCAAGGGCCTGCCTGACTGATTCTTCATGAACCTCTTAGACCAAAGCAGCTCCAGAATATCATAGGCTCCTGATTTGTGCTCCAAACTGGATGGATGTACCCTCCTGAGAATAACACAGGATCCTGGAATCCTCTGATCCTACAAAGAGTATGGATTCACCCATGGAGGGACCAGCTAGTTGGATTATGCCCAGAAGTGCCTGTGCTTTCTCCATGGTGGCAACAAGTTAGCCTTCATTGTGGACAGGGAAGAGTTTAGCTTGATTTCGGCTTGCATTTGTCTATTGTTGTATGCAGCATAATTCCTTACAGTTGCTTCCATATGAAGATAAGAAAAGTAAAACTTTGAATGGTGAAATGACTTTTTAAATATCTCAAAGAATTTCTCAGTATCTCAGTCCATCAATCACAAACATTTAAACTTCTGAGTACAAGTTCAGAACATTACATAACTTATCTAAGATCACACAGCTAGTAAATGGCAGAGTCAAAACCTGAAACCAGGCCTTCTGACTGCAAGGTTTCTTTTTCCCACTATGTGGAGGTACCTCTCAATAATATTGTGGTAAAGAAACTGACAGATAATTGTTTTGTGATGATTCCTCCAAATTTCTGATTCCGAAACTTGTCTTTGTCAGAGATTCTTTTGGGACTTTGACAGGTGATAGAGATTTTCCTCCAGAAAAAAATTTAAATGCCCATATGTAAGAAACCATCTGTCCCAAGGCCTTTCCCCAGCAACTCCTTAATTCTTTGAAACTCAGGTTAGATGACCCGATTACTGGTAGAGGGAATTTAGAACTTGTTGCCTGTTTTGTCAAAGGATCTTCTGTGTGTTTGTTTTAGGAATCACAGTTTTACTGTCTCTAACTGTCTTCATGCTGCTTGTAGCAGAGATTATGCCCGCAACATCTGATTCAGTGCCATTGATAGGTAAGTCAAGAGTCAGGCTCCTTTCTAGAACTACAGATTTAGAGAGTCCCTAGCATTTCCCAGTAGATGCAAAGAGTAGAAATGTGTCCTTCATGCCCTGAAGAGCTGTATCGCTCCCTCATCTATTGCCTCTGTTCACTTGGGCCCAAATAGTGGGAAGAGGATATTCAACTGTGTGGTTAGGCTTTAAGTTACTGAAACGGCTAGGAGTGGTGGTGTGCCACTGTGGTGTTAGTACTCAGGAGGCTGAGGCAAGAGGATCACTTGAACCCAAGAGTTCAAGACCAGCAAGGGCAACATAGTGAGACTCCCATCTCAAAGAAAAAAACATGCAAAATTGCCTATTATGCCACTTATTATAAATTCTTCCACTTATTCTTGCTTTGAGGGCAAAGATTTTATTATTAGAGATTCATTATTTTAGCTGAGACCTTGTTTGTCTACAAATCTTTTGTTACAAAGGGAGAAACATACAATTTAACTCTTAGTCATTGTTTCCAGGAATAACTCAGGGTCTCCATATAATAAATATTTGGGGGAAATATATGTTTTGCCCAAGACAGGTATGAGGTATGACCTTCTGCTCAGGGAGGAATGGCAGGTGCTTTGCACCTTCCTGTATGGAAATAAATGTAACCATACAAAAGGATACCCAGTTTAGTGGTTAGAATTAGATACTCTCACTACTGCAGCTGGGGTTCTATTCCTTGTCAGGGAAGCAAATCCTCCAACTCAGTTGTGAGGTTGCAAAGCAGCATTCTGCCAGCACCTATTAGGTTTATTATGGGAGGTGCCACTCCTATACGGTGATGGAAAGTCAGGTCTTTGGGTTCTAGGCTGCCTGCTTCCCACCAGGGGTGTGGGCAGTGGGCTATAGGCCTGGCCCAGACAGCCAGTCACTGACAGTAAGAGAGCGAGGTCTGCACACTCCTCCTGTGACTTTCAGTGCTCCTGGGGCCTCAGGTCTCACCCTGTGTCTGTTCTTTTCACAGCCCAGTACTTTGCCAGCACCATGATCATTGTGGGCCTCTCTGTTGTGGTGACAGTGATTGTGCTGCAATATCACCACCATGACCCTGATGGGGGCAAGATGCCTAAGTGGGTATGTTCTTCTCACTCCCATGGGGTCAGAGCCCTCCCTAAAGCAGAGTTTTCATATGGTTTATCTGTTTTAAAAACCAGCCCCCAAATTAGCACTCCAAAACAAATGGGTCTGTTTTTCATATGACTTCACCTCTCTGACTTCAACCTCTTTTCAGAGAGTGTAGTTATGGTGAGTGTGCCTCTTAGTATCCATCCTATGACAGTGTTTTAACCTGACATCCCAGAGCATGGCTCACATACTGGCTGCCTGTGTATTTTGCTAACAGAATGTTTCTAAAAACTATTATTTTGCATGGACAAATTGGAGAATTTTGCAACAGTAGAAAGCAACTGATGACACAGACACTTAGCAACATGGTTAGGGCTTCACAACAGAATGAGCTATACAAAAACATAGCTACCCTTCCGTATCTGCAGAAAATTGATTTCAGGATTGCCTGTAGATAACAAAATCTTTTAGATTTTGTTTAGAGAATAATGGAAAAAGAAGTCTGTACATGTTTAGTACAGATGCAGTTATTTTCTCAATGTTGGTCAAATCCATGGATGTGGAACCCGCAGATATAAAGGGCCCAAGTGTACATACACTTAATACACATAGAAACATAATCTAATGGAAACCCTATAATGTAAAGGTAGATAGGTTACTAGTAGAGAAAGGAAAGGGGATGGAAAAAAATGGAATACTTGATTAGAACTGAGCCAGGGCCAGGAGTTTCCCCATGTCACCAGAACAAAACCTGAGTTTTTCACCTCCCATGCTCATGTGAACCCTGCAGACCTTCCTGATCTTCCTGTCCAGAGTGTTTAGTCTAGGATGGAAAAATCTCTTCTGTCCCCAAAAGAACCTGTCTCTAGAGATCCATTAGTTTGTATTTAAGCCCAGAAGAGAGTCTAGGAATCATCACCATGCTAAATGTAGCATAAAGTATGAGATGCATTTATATACTCTCCAGGAACAGAAAGTTTCTGGGCTTTCTAAGAACATTCAATGTGCAATAGTTCATAGTTACCTACAAGTTAACTAAGGGAAGATCACTTTTTAAAAATATCGGGCTTGCAAATTTACTGTTTCCCCTCAAGTTCCTTTTCATGTACACTCTTCTCATATACTTAGTAAAAACTCACCTGTAACTTATAGTGCCAACAGCAGTGTCACTCAACCTAAAATGATGATGCCTCCTGCACAGGTCACATTGCTACCATATGTGAGAGTTGTTTTGAGAAGTGCCCATCCCCTTTAAAAAATGGGATACATTTGCACATGTGCAACTACATTCTCATCTGACTTTCTTATATATTTGACACACTTGGACAAGATGTCAGGACAGATATGAGAGTAGGCTTCTAGTTTATTTTTTGTCTGTCTGTCTGTCCATCTTTCTGTTTGAAGCAGATGATACATTTAGATACATTTACCTGTTTCAAAAAGTGTATATCATATTAACACTATACCTAAGAAAATTGAGCTCCCATTTCCACCCTTCACCCTGCTCCCACCACCAATATTGAAACATTTAAATGAATTCCTTCTTTTTTCCTTTTAGTGTTTATTTATGAAAATATGAACACTTCTTATTAGTTTTTCAACTGATGTGGAGATAAGGGAATGAAACACAGATGCAAAATCATTTTTAATGACCTGATAGCACTATGCTCTTTTGAAAAATCTTAATTAAAAGCATATGCTAATTTTTCACCTCTTAGCATAAGAGCTTGTTAAAACCAATTGGCTACAAATGAAATATAAAGTGTATACATTTCATTTTTATATAGCATACTATGTTTTTCTTTTCTTCCATGTGTTTTTAAAACATAAACAGTCTCCAAGGGACTCTTACAATGATCTGTTGCTATGAAGAAGATACTGCTGAGTGCAGTGGCATTATGTGACATTTGCACAGTCAGAAACAAAACTATAACCTAACAGAAGAGGTCATGAGCACAGTTTGATAAGTGCCAAGAGGATAATTTCATCTTTGGAGATGCTTTGGCCTTGAAAGCTAATAATTCAGGCCATGGAATTAAAAATAGACTTGGCAATGTGGATCATACTAGCTGGATTTGTGCCTCAGGGGATGTGCAGATTCAGTCATGGCTGGAAAAGTGCCTGACACTGCTTGGCTCTCATGTGCACAGTTGCATCTGGGTATAGTTGCACTCATTGTCGGACACCTTCCCTCAAGGTCTGATGAAGACTTTGTGGTATTTCCAAGAAGGAGTTGGGCTAAGTCACAGGAACGCTGAAAGAGCATGTAATCTCTGACTGATGAAGCTACAGAGGTCTAGGTACATTACCTGGTGTAACCACTTGCTTATTGTATGACCTTGAGCCAATTAATTAGCGTCTTGGAGCTTCATTTTATCTGTGTGTAAAATGGGAGAATTAAGCTCACTTTCTAGAGCTCTTAATGGCCCAAGTGAGATGACATGTCTCTTGAGGGCCAAATTCACCCTAAATGTTTTCACAGAGGTTTATGTTTTCCTCCTCGGCACAGATGGTAAAAAACCCTCCAGGGTCAGGAGACCTAGCCTTCCTAGGATATAGAGTGCCACCTACTGTGGAAAGCACACTGTGAAATGAAGGACTGTCTTTGAAGCTATAGTGAAAATTATTTTAGTGTTTCTTCTTCTTTTTTAAAAAATTTATTCCCTGCCCCCAGATCTTGTTTGCTTCAGTCACCTTTGATAAGATACCATAAAAGTGAATGTCAGGAAAGACTGCCCTGCAGATATGAGCTTCACAGCTTACCATCTCTATCTACATGGAGATAGACCTGCTAGGTTGTTGATGAAATTTTCCCATACTCAAAAAATGAAATAGGTATCTGGATGATTATAGAAAAAGAACTCCCTTTTTATACACTTATCTAGGGAAACTTACAAAAATTATATAGTTATCTAGAGATGCCTACAAAAATGCTTTATTTTTTTTTTCTTATTTTGGGACATTAGCTGTCTCCCCTCTTTCCAAGAGAGTTAAAAATAATATAAACTCACATGGTAATTTTTCACAAACTTCTTCAGGCACATTGGTACCAAATGTGTATAATATACTTGAGCCAGAGTTTGGCAAACTGAGACCCAGCTGGTCAAATTTAGCCCACAAACTTTAAAATACAGTGTTATTAGGAAATAGTTATACTCATCCGTTTACCTCCTTTCTATATTTGTTACTTCGTAAGCTGAGTAGTTGCAACAGAGATCTGTGGCCTGCAGATCTAAAAATGTACCATCTGTCTCTTTATAGAAAGTTTGCCAACTCTGCTTTCAACTTTCAATCTAAGTACTTTCCCAGACATCCTTGTATTTGGTGTTCACTGTAGCTTAAGGGATCCTAAGATGAGGGGCTCTATGACTTCCTTGGTCCACAGCACATTGGTGTCTCAGGAATTTTTCCACAGAGCTCCTAGACCTGAGGAAATATTCCCCCACAGTGTCTTTATTACATAGGTTGAAACAATTTAGCTTTTATGTCTTAACATCATGAGAGCACCTGCGGGGTACGTTCAGCACATCCTCTTGAGTCTTGGGATTAGATTGGAAACCACTGTCTTCATTTTTTTGTTTCACATTGGCACTTGATTTTTTTTTCAGGGCAACTTGGAAAACCAGTGTTGCAAAGATATAATGTCATCACGAGATGTGACCATCTAATGTTGAAAGCCTGAACTATTTCAAATCAGTGGTCCTTGTGTTCAAGGGCTGTCCTTGAATGTTAAAATCTCCCAGTGCCCCTGTGATTTACAGTGGTCTTCCAGGGTGCCTTACACACAGTATGGGAGATAGAGGATTAGAGCTGAAGGTCCTTGGTTACAGATGTGTTAAGATCAGAGAGGGAAAGTGACTTTTGTTGTTTACCTATCCCAGAGGTATTCTTACCAAGCCAGGCCTCCTCTGACAAGGCTGTCTTCTTAAAGAATGCAGCATGTGTGCCCACCCCAGGGAAAAATTCAGCTCATAACCAGGGTGATAAACCTGTTATAGCTTTTATTCTCACTTCATATTTGACTAACAGTTGTTAGGCTTTGGCACTGCTTGCCCGTATAGAATCATTAGGGAGGTGATGAAACGTGTTAGCCCCAGGATCAACAAAGTCAGGCCTGTTATGTAGGATCACAGTGCTGTCAGGATCAGTTAATATCCACTTCTTGGCCTCTCTTAACATTCTCTTGTCTCCCCCAGACCAGAGTCATTCTTCTTAACTGGTGTGCATGGTTCCTGCGCATGAAGAGGCCCGGGGAAGACAAGGTCCGCCCAGCTTGCCAGCACAAGCAGCGACGCTGCAGCCTGGCCAGTGTGGAGTTGAGTGCGAGTGCAGGGCCTCCTACCAGCAACGGGAACCTTCTATATATCGGCTTCCGAGGCCTGGAGGGCATGCACTGTGCCCCGACCCCTGACTCTGGGGTTGTGTGTGGCCGCATGGCTTGTTCCCCTACACATGATGAGCACCTTCTGCATGGTGGACAGCCCTCAGAGGGGGACCCAGACCTGGCCAAGATCCTGGAGGAGGTCCGCTACATTGCCAACCGCTTCCGCTGCCAGGATGAGAGTGAGGCTGTCTGTAGTGAGTGGAAGTTTGCAGCCTGCGTGGTGGACCGCCTGTGCCTCATGGCCTTCTCAGTCTTCACCATCATCTGCACCATTGGCATCCTCATGTCAGCTCCAAACTTCGTGGAGGCTGTGTCCAAAGACTTTGCATAACATCACCCAGTTCTATACACATAGGAAATGCACAGATAGGCAAAGTGGTTGTTGGTGAGAATTCTGTGTGGTAAACTCACAGCAGCATTAAATGTGACAACTCTGATGTATCCTTTGTGGCTGTCAATTGTCAATCCTGATGGTTACAGTTTCCTTGTTACCTTCAGTAATAGGATCTTAGTATTTTTCTCTTTGATATCTTATGCATACCACTGGCACATCATTCTGTTCAGCAGGGCCACTGTACAGTCATTTTGCCCATTTGTTCTCTTTCTGGAGAGCCATTTAGAGAGATCTTTGTGGCTCCAGACTGTCAGGGCAGGCCTGTACAGTTGGTTTTGCATGCTTGCATGTCACTTGCCATAAGGCCCACATGAAAATTCAACGAGTGCTTTTGCCTATGTACAAACCTAGATTAAAACTAACGATAATAAACCACTCACTAAATCCATTCTAATAATTGACTTGTGAAAGAAAAAAAAAAAACTAAAACCGATCTGCTGGCTTTTCTGTAGTTCAACTATATATTTTTTCTCTACCAATGACAGTCGGTAGAGAGAAACAGTTGTATGCTGTTTATAGAAGAGAGTGAGACAGACACTGTTTGTGTGTGTATGTGTGTGTATCTCGTAAACTATGTTTATACCAGCTAATTTTTACAAACCTATTCTTTTGAGAAAAATCAGAGGGACTCAAGTTTGTGTCTATTGCAATATAGGACCAGACCTGGTCAAGTGTGCATGAGAGGCTGTGTCCCCTGTAGATCCTAGATGACTCCCACGCTTCTTGTGCTACCCCTGGACACTGTTCTGTTCTGCAAAATCCAAAGGACAAATAGGGTTCTGTGAGAAATACCAGCTCGAAGGAATAACTGAAGCTAAGTTACACACTTTAATGTGCTTTTTAAAAATAAGAATGTATTAGATGCTTCATACTTGTTGGAGATGATTCGTTTTAGAAGAATGTCCATCCAAATGCACACCGTAAAGTGAGCATATTATTTGGCTTTTTCTCCATGTGATAGGGCCAGGATGCAAGGACTGGGACCTCTCTGGCCCTCTGTGTAGTAAGAACTGGGGAGGGGATGGTGGCTTTCCGAGATGCCCATCAGTAGCAGTCAAAATGGAGGAGCTGTCAGAACATCAGAGGCTGCACAGCAATAAGCCCTGGTTTCTGGCTTTTGGGGATCTGCATCCTTATAGCCTGTTCACCCCAGTTTCAACACAGAAAGTTGGCTCAGGGTTAATTTGTGATTCACTGGAGATGTGTTCTAAAGACAAGAACAATTTCAATTTTTTAACCTAAGAGGGGACACCATATCCCACTGAAATTAGCAGGTAGTAATCACTGTGCCTCTTCTTGTTTGTTGTTGTTTTTAATGAGATCAGAAGGTAATTCACCAAGAAAAACCTCTGTGGTTCTATTGTAGCATTCAGTAACTGCTCAGAGCTCAAAACTGTGCTTCTGAGCTCCTAGAAATCTTTAAGCTGCTTCCAACCACTGAGTGGGGCACATCATGAAAGATTAAATTTTCAGATCAAAATAAATTGCCATCCATTTCACTAATTTCTGAGTAATGCCTATAAATTCACTTGTTTAGAGGAAATGAAGGTTTATGTGTATTATGTGTGCATGGGTGCGTGCATATGTGCAAGTGCCTGTGTGTGCAACTTAAGAGGAGAACTTGTTTACAACAAGAAGGTTGATAAACCACGAGACTCTAGCAAAATGCTATTTGGAGCAGGGTCATCCACCCATTCTACATGGTGTGGACAAATGACGCACAATGTTGTTTTTGTTTTTCCTATTGAAGTGTCTTTAGAAACAAATAGAAGTGTTTGATTTAAAAAGAGAGAGCTTCGTATCTTATTGTTACATGAAATTAATCTCTACCATATATTTTTTTGCTTTAAAGAGAACTTTTTCATTTTGTATTTTATACAGAAAAACATAAAAAGCAAATAAAAGTTTATCATTTTGACCACCCAAATAACTATTCTGTCATTGATAATAATAATTAGGAATTAACTCCCCACAAAATTAGAAAAATGTATATGGTTAGAAACAGAAACCTTCCTTATCCTAGTCACTTGAGAAGTTGAGGCAGGAAATCACAAGTTGGAGGCCAGCCTCAACAACTTGGGAAAACCCTTCCTCAAAATAAAAAAAAAATTAAAAAGGTGTGGAATTGGCACAGAGGTAGAGCATCATGTGTTCAGTCCCCTGTACCACAAAACAAAACCAAGCAGCCTCCTCCCAACCCCTTCCCCTTTTTGTCCTCCACAGAGGCCCCTTTTTGTTCTCCACAGAGACTCCTTTTTGTCCTCCACTGATGAGTTTTCAGAGACATTTCTAGAATGGAGGAAAAGAAGGGCGGGGGCTGAAGGAGGAGAGAGTTGGGAATGGAGAAAGACATATTCTAGCCATCACGCTATGCAAAGCACTCTGCACCTAGTGTTCTGACTTAAAGATCTTTCCACAGTGACAAATGAAGATCTACCTCTATTTCTCTAAATGGCTGCTTAGCATTCCTTTGCCTCAGTGGACCATAATTTATTTGAATTTTTTTTCTTTTATTGGTAAACATGTAGATATTTCCAGTTTTTATTTTTATATGCAAACCTATACTTATCATCTCTGTGTATATTTTACCACACTTTTGTGATTATATCTTGGTAGAAATTCCAGTTAGAAATGGAATCTCTGGACAATAAGGCTTTGTGCATTTAACATTTTGATAGATATTGCCAGATTATCTTCCAGACACCAATCAGTGGATACCCCACCAAGAGTACAATGAAAGGAAAAATTTCTTAGCCTTTTAGTGCTAAATACTGTTGAATTTATTTTTTCCCAACATGGTAAAAAAAAAAAAGATATTGCAATATTATTCTGACTTTAGTTCATTCTATTGTGAGGTTGAACATCTTTTCAAATGGTTTTTTGGCAATTTCAATCTTTGTAAATTTATACTTTTATGCAGTTTTTCAATTGGGTTATTTGGCTTTATTTTCTTAATTCATTTTCTTATGCATGTCAGGCTCTTTCTCTTATGTCTGGAAATATTTTAATTTATCATTTATCTTTTGATGTGTTTATTAGTTTGCTTGTTTATTGGCATATAGAAAGTTTATAATATTATGTTGTAAATTTATCTGTATTTTTCTTTGCAGATACTGGGATTTATTTACAGTTTATTTAAATGCCTTCCTGATTTTGAGATTATAAATAAACTTACTTACTTTTTCTTCTAAAACTTTGTGGTTTCATTTGTTTATATCTTCTGACTTCGCGGGAATCTTTTATTGCAAGAAATAGAGGTAAAGTCCCTATTTCTTCCCTCCAATCTGTGATCAGTGGTGTCAATCCAGTATATAACAATGTGTTTCTGTAATAAAATAATATTCTCCCCACTTGCTCAAAATGCCACCTTATGTGTAAACTTAGTTTCTTTAAGCATTTGGGTCTATTTTTCTTCTGTTGATATTCTCTCTCTCTCTCTCTCTCTCTCTCTCTCTCTCTGTGTGTGTGTGTGTGTGTGTGCCCCCCCCCCTTTTCTAAAGCTTTATTCAAATTTCAAGTTAACACACCCATCAACTGCCATTTTCTCTTTATTTCTCTGTCATATGCATCATTTTTTAAAATTGTGCCTCAATTTATAAATTGAGTGTTGCTATTCAGAAACACTACAATCTAGGCTTGTATTCAAGTCAAATTTTAAGTCACTCATTTGAGTTTTACGGTTTTGTTTAACAGGTTCTATGAATCTCTTGTCTATTTACAGATGTTTTGTTTTGCTATCATTTTCAATGTAATGATTTTTTTCCCATTTTTTCAAACTGGATGTTTAGAAAAGTCATTGGGTTTTCTACATTAATGTCATAATCAACCACTATAATTGTGATATTTTTTCTCAGATTTTCTTTGGACTTCTTCCCAATATTACACTTCTTTCTTTCTTCATCCAGTTGCATTTGAGAATAGGGTTAAGGAACAATGATTCACATAGCACACTTGTCTGTTCTTAATGTTAATGGGATATTTTAATGTCTCACATAATTCTGTTTGTATGAAGACATGTATTTTCCTTGTCATAATAAAAAGGTATCCATTTAGTCTCTCAAACTATTACTGCTCCCTTGGAAAAATGTGCATATTAGATTTTTGTCAAAGCCTTCCCAGTATCCATGGAGATCATCAGAAACTTTCCCCCTTTGCTCTAGTAGAATTTTTTATTATGTTAATAGAATCCTTCAGACTAAATCATTATTATATTCCTGAGGTGATTGTAGCAATGGTCTTATGATTTCTGCTATCAATAGTCATAATTATGATTAATCATTCCACAGCTTGCTTTTGTGTGCATCGATGGATTCAACTTACTGTGGATGACAAATATGCAGAAAAGAGTTGCATCTGCTCTCTGAACACATACAGATTTTATTGTCACTATTCCCCAGTAATACAATATGGCAGCATTTACATAGTATTTGCATCATATTAGGTATTATAAATAATGTAGGAATGATTTAAAGTAAAGGGGAGAATATGTATAGGTTACATGCAAATATTGTACCATTTAATATGAGGGAATTGAACAACATCATATTTTGATATCTGAGGAGGGTCCTGGAATGAAACCCCTGAGGACAACTCTACTTGGTTTTAGAATCATTTTCTACTTAAGTTTAAGAGAACTATGTGTGAGATCTCTGGGCTAGCACCATTATGTTTCTGGATTTCTCCTACCAAGCAGGTTAGGTCCTCAAGCACTTCTGGAGTTAATTTCAGTTACATATTTTAATATAAAATTAATCATATACATTTTTCATCTTAGTAGAATAGTTTTAGAATATAGGTACTTAGGATTTTTAATTTATTTATTTTTCTCCTCTAATTGTGTACGTGTCTTCTGTGTTCATTGATTTGACTTTACACAGTTTTTTTTTTTTCTTTAACATTTCGACTTAGCAGTTTGGGGACCTAGATGCTGAGTTCCATTGGTCCCTGTGCTGAGGCAGTCCTTCCTGCTAATAGCAGGAATCAGGGTAACACAAGCCACAGGTTCAGAAGTGTAGCCTCCTCCTGCCCAGCTTCAGGGACCCAGAATGGAAACTTTTGCCTTCCAGGGCACTGAGAGTCAGTGGAACAAACCTGGAAGGACAACCAGACTGTATTAGATGTTGCTGGTCATTCCACTCACACTGGGAACAGTCCTCTAGAGAACAGACCCAAACAAACTTTTACCAGAAGCCCTCTTGCCATGTATTTCTCAGGAAGTAACCCTTTCTTGCATAATGTAACATTCATTTCTTTATTCTTTTCCTACAAAACACCCCTTCCATCCTCCTTAGACCTTGGTCAAAGAATTGCTGCCTCACCACTGGTGGATTCTTCTTCTTATTTCATTTAATTCATTTTTATATGGGTTTGACCTTCTCATGTAGTGTATCATGAGTTGGGGAAGTGGTTCCAAAGTAATTGCTTTAGGATGCTGTCTGCAGTTTCCATCTGTTTGAAACTTTGTGGGCTATGTCCACAGCAAACCCCACTTTAGGAGTTGCAGGAACAAGGAACAGTTCATAGTTTTAACATCTTTTTTTTTAAAATTTTGTTGCTGGACTTTACACATGTTAGGCAAAAACTCTACCAGTGAGCTACATCCTCAGCTCTTAACCACTTTTAAGAGTGCAGGTCAGTAACATCAAGAATTTTTCAAATTGTTGTGCAGTCATCACCGGCATCCATCTCCCAGGACATTATCATCTTCCCCAGCTGTAATTCTGTACCCATTAAACACTAACTCCTCATTTTGCCTACCCTTTGCCCTGGCAACCACCATTATTTTTTCTATCTATGCCAATATGATACTCCAGGAGCCTCATGTAAGTGGAATTGTATGGCATTTGTTCTTTTTGTGACTGGCTTCTTTTTCTTAGCATAATGTCCTTAAAATTCATCCATGTTACAGTTTCTTTTCTACTTTGATATTGTGTTGTTTTTTCTGTTATTCAGAAGATTCCAAATTCCTGTGTTTCTGTGTATTTTTATTTAATCAAGTGAGTACTTTAACTTTCAGATTTTATTATTCTAATCAAAGATTTAACAGCCATCTCCACACTTTGATACATAGTGTTTTATTATCTTCATTTGGTAAATATGAGTTAACTTTGATATCTTCTTCTACTGAGCTTTAATGAATGTTTTAACATTCTCAGTTTTATTGAGTTAAAAATTTCAAATTTTATTCCACTTTTCTTTGAACACTGTGTGTGTGTGTGTGTGTGTGTGTGTGTATAAAAATCAGTTTGTATAAATAAGTCCTATTCTGAATGGGACCCTGACCCCCATCTGGATTTCTGTTCCCATTGCCTTTGACTACTTGTCCTGTCACAGCCTGGCGTTGCTTCTCTTTGAATTTTCCTTCTATTTTCTATATGCTGTTTAACAAAATCAGATTTTGATTCTCCTGTAAATCTTCATCTTGAATTCATACTTGATTGCTTTTAAAATCAGGCCCATAGGGGCTGAGGCTGTGGCTCAGTGATAGAGTGCTTACCTAGCATGTGTGAGGCACAGGGTTCAATTCTCAGCACCACATATAAATAAAATAAAGTCCTTTGACAACTAAAAACAATATTTAAAAATTAAGGCCCATAGATTTTCTGAGAAGATGCCTAGTGTATTCTTACCTACTGATGGGGAAAACAGGCTGTATATTCTCTACATTTACACAGTACTTCCAGTCTTCAGGTATGCATGGTTTTTCCCCACTAACCAAGACACCTGCTTGGAGTCTTATAGTTTAATTCAATCTACTACTAACTCCCCAGAATGAGGGCAGACTCTACAGGCAAAAGTCTCATCCCACAAAACTGTCTCTTGTCCCACTTCTCTACCAAGTAGTGGTCCCAGGTATCCACAACTTCTGTTGGATTTGGTTACAAATTGGAGGTTCCCCTTCTAAGTTTCAATCATGTTCTAGAACTGCTCATATAACTCAGAGAAACATTCTACTTACATTCACTCATTTATTGTAAGGGATACAACTCTGGAACAGCCACATAGAAGAGAAGGATTGGGGTATGGGATAAGGTATGGAGTTTCCATGCCTCTTTGGGTATGCAATGCTCCTGGTACCTCCACCAGTTCACCAACCTGGAAGCTCCCAGACCCGTCCTTTAGGAACTCCTATGGAGGTTTCATTCATGGGTCTGATCAATTATTGACTATGTTTCCAATTCTTCTTCCCTCCTGGGGTCAAAGGTTCCAGGTTTCTAATCATGGCTTGGTCTTTCTGACTTCCTGCCCCCATTCAGGAACCCAACAAGAGTGCTACCTCGTTAGGACAAAAAAAAAAAATCTTCCATCACTCAGAATATTCCTAGGACTTAGAAGCTATGTACCAGGAACTGGGTCAATTAACAAAATAGATCAAAAGATACTCTGTGTTCCCCTGTCACTTAGGAAATTACAAGGATTTTTCACACTCATAATTTGTATTTCTTTGATGCACATTTAGATTTATCTGGAATATGAATTTACATTTTAATATAACAGATATATTTGCTTTTAACAATTTTAAACATTTCTTTAATTCATATTTCTTTTGCTTCCTCTTTGGGATTTTCTTTCTTTTTCTTCCTTTTTGGTTGCATGGCTTCCTTTTGTTAAAATGAAGAAATATTTTTGTGTGTCTAAGTGGTTACCTATATAATATTTCATAATAAAATTAAACCTATATTTCATAATTCATCAACATGACAGTATCTATTCATTTTCTATTTCTCACCTCAAAGACTAGCACATTATTAGTTATCTTTTTGTTTTAGTCCTTCTGCAGACAAAGTTTCCTTTTATAGGCTTACATAATGTTTTAATATTTATCAATTCTTAACAGTATCTTATACTACTATTGAGGGCAAAATTGGAAGATATTAAAAGGGATGTAAAAATTAATTCATTTTGCATGCAAAAATCCCCAATTTTGATAGTGTAATTATCTTTGTTATTTTTACCGCTTCACAAGTTGTAACATTTACTTTATGAAAATT